CCCAGTGGCTTTTAAACCCCAAAATACATTACGGCAAAGACTGGTTCTTCCCAAAGATCCAGTCCCCCGGCACAAACAGAGTAATGTTGTGTATGCTGTTCAGTGTCAGGAGGGCTGTGATCAGTCTTACATCGGGGAAACTAAACAGCCACTGGCCAAAAGGATGGCCCAGCACAGAAGATCAACATCATCAGGCCAGGATTCTGCGGTCTACACTCATCTCCAGGCCAGCGGTCACTCTTTCAAGGATGAAGATGTTCACATCCTGGACAGAGAGGAACGATGGTTTGAGAGAGGAGTAAAGGAGGCCATCTTTGTGAAAAGAAATCATCCATCATTAAACAGGGGTGGAGGCCTCCGGGTTCAACTGTCCCCCTCTTACAATGCTGTGATTGCTAGTATCACTCAGCCCTCTGTGAATAGTAAACAGCCATCAGTGTGCTAATGATCCATTGTTAGGCTGATGGTCCTTCTTGAGCATGTGATCAGCTGGTTTTGGTTGTCAGCAGCAAACTGGTTGATCCACTCTAAGAAGGTGCTATTTAAGAGACTGAGCTGAAAACAGCACCTCAGACTGAGGAAGTCTGTTGGATGAGAGACGAAACGTTACTAGATTTTTTTTTTTTGCTTTGTTTTGCTTTTGTTTTTTTTTTTTTTGAATGTCCAGAGGACCAGATTGAACTTTTTTGGAGTTGTTCAAACTATTCTGAGACATTTAGTCCATATGTTAGTTGACATGGCTTTCTAATCTCCTAAATCAAAGAATGATGAGTTGCTTTAGTTTAAAGTGCACAATTCTAAAAGCAAACCACTCGTATAGTCTGTGCTGTAATTATTCGTTTAGTTGGTTTTATTAGAAGAAGAAAAACACTCAACTTCTCCATTTTCTTTATAGGTACACAAAGTTTTACTGCCGCAGATGCAACAAAGTAAAACCAGCTACAACAAAACTGGTATAGCTGGAACAATAGTGTCATGTTTACAGTCGTACAGTGGATTTGTAATGACTGCTTCAGATTTACAGAGGTGCTTGCTTCTGTCTTCGCACAGGTCCAAACTTGTCTTTTTGACTGATAGTCCTGAATCCATTTGGATCTCTGCAGGCGTTAGGAATGTTTCCTGGAATCCAGGAGTGCATTTGCGTCAGCTCTTTTTTATGCAACAATTGGGAATGAAAAATAGGCTTCTAAAGTAGAAAAATTAGAAACGCTTATAGGCAATTATAATGCCTTTTGGCATTAAACCCTATTTTCTAACTGATTTAAACAGCAAGTCAGATATTATGAAGTAGCGTTCAGTGGGGAGGTTATCACCAATAATTGTCCAAATTGATTTAGATGCCTCTTTAAAGTTTGGAGAAACACAGGTTAATTCTGACCAGAATGACAAGCTAATGGCTAGTCTGAGTGGTGCCACGACCAAAGTGAGTAGCTGCTGTTTTATAACAGCTTCACTCTGAAAAACCTGCACAACCACCCCCCTCCAGTAGATCCGAACTGTCTTTTTAAATGGGTCACAGTGTTGAGTCAAGCTAACCGGCACATGAAATTCATCCTTGGGAACCCCAGTTCGAGTATCACTTTTCAGCATCATCAAATTAATCATGTATATTTACTCTACCGATCCTGTGACCTCCTTTTCAGACATCGCAGTCGTGGACATGAGCGATGTGTTTCGTCAACCCTCGTTGTTTTACCACCTGGGTGTGAGGGAGAGCTTCGACATGGCCAACAACGTCATCTTGTACAATGACACCGACCCCGACACTGCTCAGTCACTGAAGGTAGCACGCTCTTGTAGTGTAATCTGAGTTCACGGATGCCGTTCCTTCTCGCTGCCTCTGAACAAAGTGACCCGCCGAGTTATTTACAGAGCGCTGTGTGCAGAACAGTTAGTCCAGCCGCCTCATGAAAAACACCAGTGTGGTAAAAATATACTTGTTGTACATCTTTGAAATACATTGCATGCTCTTTGTGTCTTTACAGGACATGGTGGCACAGAAGAACACAGTAAGTGTGTGTGTGTGTGTTTGACTGTGATTTATACACACAGCTGTTCATTACTAGGAATAACATTTGACAAGTGCTGTCTGTTCTCTCATGTTGAAATCCATCCAGGAATCTCTTTCTGTGTTTCTGTTTGCTCTTTGTTAAGCTTCTCTTTTCTGTCTTTTGCACCACCCCCCCCCCCCCAACTCATTTGTTTAGATAGACGTTGTCTTGACATGTTTTCTGCAGCAGTTTTTTCTAGAAACTGGCATTTAATGTTTCTCTATTACCTGTGTGGAGTAGGGAAGTCGCCCACCAGCGTTAGGATTTCCCTGGGTTCAGTTGCCTCCTGAATACAGAGGCTCTGGGCTGAAAAATAAAGTAGGTCGCAGGCCTGCACCAGTGCATGCTGGGAGAGTTCAAGAATCACATCTAGTATTAACAATCCAGCAGCTTAAACTGTGGCTTCCTTGCACTTTAAATCCAATAATAACATTTAACTCATAAAGGCAAAGAAAAAACAAGTTGCAACAATGATGCAGCTTTTGTTCTTTACATGCAGCGTGCAACGTCTTTATGTGTTTTCACAATGTTAATGTGCGTTTGGTATTTTCACTCTTTTGAAGTAGGACTCTGTGGTAGGTTTATGAACAGTTAATATCTTACCTGTTAAAGATATATCATTAAACACCTCAGTTTGGATAAGTAGTTTTAGTCTGACAGAATTGACAAGCTGTGGAGTGAAGTTCAAAGTATTCTGATGTTTCTGCTAGAAGCTAGCTGCTTCTGCCACTATTAGCAACTGCAAATAACTACATACTATAAATATAATACTGTATGTATATAATTTAAAACTGATAACAATGTGAAATGTTTATAAAATGTTTATATGAAATACTATGAGTTGTTGGAGTTGTTCTCAAGCATTTCTCCAAACTATGGTCCTTCAAAGTGTTATCTGCAACAGGTAAAATATTAACTACTCATGATGCCCACTTGAAAAGATCTGAATTGTTGACTGAAATACCACCAAGCCTAAATGAATTATACATTCTGATAATAGCAGTAGAATCCCTGTCAGTCACAAAGGCCAACTAATCTTGATAAAACAAAAATAAACAAACAACAATTGGCCAACAGCAAACATCAAATGGATGATGGTTAAATTACATATAGTGTAGTAATAATAATGAAAATAATAAGATAAGATAGAACTTTATTGATCCTGCAGGAAAGTGTTTGCCAGAGTATCAGTACAAAGGAAAATACACAAGAAAATAATAATAATAATAATAATAATAATAATAATTTTAAACAACAACTCTAACAACATTTTGCGTTGAAATAAACAAGCCAGTTCCTTTTGAACAAGCTCTTGGTCACAGTGGGAAGAAAACCCCCAGTTTTTTCATCTTCTTGATGGAAACATAAAGATTTCTCTCACAGTTTTCAAATCATACCTTTAAGAGTTTTAGGATCAACCCTAAATAAACCTTATTATTATGCATTTATATTTTATAAAGATATGCTCATGAAACAACGTAGAACTTTTAGGTTAGGTTTTATATTTTGTTATCCCTTAATTGGAGCTAAAAAGTAAAGATTTATTTCTGTGCTATAACTGAACCATAACTTTAATTTAATTTTAATGACACACCGTACACACTTTCTATATAGATTAACATTAATCTTGTTGTTTTGGTAAAATTAATTTACAATTTTTTTTCAATCCAGGTTCTAATGAACCATAATGTTAAAACGACCCCTTGAATCTGAACTGTGTATAAATTGGACATTTGACCATCAGAGACGTCCAGTTGGATTTGAAGTTTGGTCCACTGGATGATCTATTTGGCCAAGTTAAAAGCAAGTCACACATTAATCTTCTGAATGATTGGTTATTTAAGGGATCGTCCCTGAAATTCATATTCCTGAATAAAATTGTGTAAAATTAAACAACTAGAAAGACGAGCTAGTCTTGTTTTAACATGCGCTTTCTCATTTGGCTTGTGGCCAAGAAAATGTAAAGTTTTTATTTGTTATTCAGAGAACAAAGAAGTGAAAATACACGTAGTCATTAAGAAAAAACTAACAATTTAACCTGCTTGTGTTGTCTTTAAATTAATATCATGATGTTACCAGACAATCCCAGAGGTCCTGCTCCTCTGCTTGTACTCATCCTCCTCATTAATGACCCTCTAATCTCCCACCTGCTTCCATTGTTCTTCCACCTGGACTCCCATCACACCTGGCAACAGGGTTCTGCATGTGTGTTTACCTGGAGAGCAACTGCATTACATCTGCATTTACAGACTTTTAAAACCCAGTACTCATCCTTCCTTTCTATTTTATTTTATTTTATTTTTTACATCACTCGCGCTCCCCTTCAAGGCATCCAGCGGTAATTACTACTTCATCCCCTACATTGTGACTCCGAACCATGAGTACATGTGCTGTGAGAGCGATGCCCAGCGCAGGGCCAGCGAGTACATGCAGCCCAGCTGGGACAACCTGTTGGGGCCGCTGTGTGTCCCCCTGACTGACCGCTTCACCAGCCTGCTGAAGGACATCCATGTGACATCATGGTGAAAAAAAAACAAAAAAACATTTATAGTTTTAAAAACATTTACATTTCTGCTGCATTTTTACAACAACATATTTTGAATGTGCAACAAAAGAGACCCATTTCACCAAATACAGAAATATACTGAGGTCCCTTTTTAAATATTGTAGTACTTCAAAGACTTAATTAATCAATTGGCTTGTTTTTTAGCAAAATATCTCATGAAATGCTGATTGGATTCCAACGAAACTCTCAGAAAGTAATTTCTGGTCGCACATCTACAATTGATTGGCTTTTGGAGTCAACCCAATTCAAAATGGCTACCGCAGCTAATTGAATTTAGGAAATGGGAAAAATTACTCTAATTTATTTATTTATTTTGTTTATTTCGAACGACAATTAAAAGTAAAAACAAAGAAAGAGAAAAAAATAACAACAGTCATGCCAATTGACATGCAATTTTACACAATTTGTTCGAAAAGGAGCAGGTAGACGATAACAATCTTATGATTTCCTGCCCCGTCATACACATCAGTATACAAACCGGATTCAAAAAAAGTTGGGACACTAAACAAATTGTGAATAAAAACTGAATGCAATGATGTGGAGGTGCCAACATCTAATATTTTATTCAGAATAGAACACAAATCACAGATCAAAAGTTTAAACTGAGAGAATGTATCATTTTAAGGGAAAAATCTGTTGTTTCCAAATTTCATGGCGTCAACAAATCCCAAAAAAGTTGGGACAAGTCCATTTTTACCACTGTGTGGCATCCCCCCTTCTTCTTACAACACTCAACAGACGTCTGGGGACAGAGGAGACCAGTTTCTCAAGTTTAGAAATAGGAATGCTCTCCCATTCATGTCTAATACAGGCCTCTAACTGTTCAATCGTCTTGGGCCTT